GCAAGCCCCCAGTATCGTGAGACTGCCCTTCATGGAGCTCCTCATAGCACGTGGAATTGTCCTACATTATTACTTGGCGAAATGGTATACAGATGACTTGGGCTATCCTTAATAAAGGATCTAATATAGATGTTAATTATCAGCTAGGCCCGATAATATTCACTAACTAACGTCACGTCGCCCTCGCGTATATGGCTAAATAGGGTAATATAGAGGACTAGATTGATTGTATATATACGTGTACTATAGGAAAACCGCGATATCTCTACTTAAATAACTTAGATAGTGCTAGAGGTAAGCCCATAGAGTGCCCTCGCTGCTTCCTCCGATTCTATTACCTTAAGACTACCCTTATACTTATGAAGATAGCGACGAGCATCTAGGATGATGCTTAATAGGACGCTATACGACTTCGCGGCCTCGTGATAAGCGGACCTAGGACGAGTAATCTCTTCGACTTATCTATACTAATAATAGTTTTTAACGGCGTACTCGCGGAGTACCTAATTCCATCCTTCGTCCTAGTATAAGTCTCCTTCGCTAGTCGCCATTTAAGTACTAATTAAACGACGTTAGCCTAGTGGAGTTCTGGCTGAGTAGGTCTACTACACGGGGCGGGATTTATCGAATCTAGTAGTGTTAATAGACGAGGGGGTTAACTATTAATCTCATGAGTTAATAATGGTAACGTATATAGTGGTGGTATAGCCGTCGGATATAGAGGCACACGTGCTCCGAATATAGGATGGATTCTTTGATACTCCATCGCGCCGCACCCTTTGCTCCTGTGTCATCCGGGTCTTTTCACCTGTGCCGACAGATTGCGTGCTTTCACTCTGGTCTGTCTATTCTCTGCGATCAATACCGCTGGCTTCGCACCTGGCACGATGTGTCCTTCGCATGGTTCCTGTAATGTCATATCGCTGACCTGACGGGTGATGCCGATGATGACATCATCCATTTTCTCGAGAGAAATCTCGTACGTAGCATTACTACTGTCGCCTTCCACAGCTTTGCACGGGTCAGTTATCGCATTGCCCTGAGAATCAACAATTGAAAGGTTTTTCTCCTGCGATAATGCCGTGCTGATGCTTGTCAGAGTCTGTTCTGCTTGTACTCTTCGTGGGTCGTTTTCCATCGCATGAGCATAAGCATGCAAGTTAGCAATGACTAGAAGTTCTCAGCACTACGATCTATCTCATTAAGGGTACAGTTCCGTCTTCTGGGATGAGCACGCGCCAGTCTCCATTACTTAACAGCAGGACAAAGACATCGGTTTGGGAAAGGAGCATGTCTGTTTCGCAAATAATGACCTGCGTTAATATATGAGTTAGATCCAGGTGACGAGCTCT